TACTACTACTACTACTGCTACTATCACTAGTATCGTGATCATGGTATTGCTGTTGCTATCATTTTGTTGGTATCGTAGCATCTCTCGTTTATCCTGGCGGCCCCAGCCAGAACCATCGACCAAGCCCGAGCAGGTAGGCCGGCCCTCTGTGCAGATCGTCCAGGGAAGGCCAATCGTCCCAGTCCTTGTGTTTCGGGGTTTGGGGGTTTTACGGGTTCAGGTTTTAGGGGTTTAGGGTAAAGGGGTTTAGGGTTCAGGGTTTAGGGGTTTAGGGTTTAGGGTTTAGGGGTTTAGGGGGATTGGGGTTTCGGTTTTCGCGTTTACCTATGGTCTCCAAAGTAGTTCCTCTTTGGGGTTACCATTTAGGATCCTTAATGTAGAATAGTTTAAACCGAAAAAGGGAACACTACAACAAGCCCTAACCTAAACCCTAAATTCAAACCCTTCTATAAGGGTTCAGGATTGGGATGCTTCCGGATTTCCGGGTTTAGAGGTACGGTGTCGAGTTCAGAAGGCTATGCTTCCAGTTCCCGCATGGAAACATCGAAAAAGCGCTAGCCACAGCGACTAAACCCCTAGACCCCATGGGGTTTAGGGTTTAGGTGGATCCTAAACCTCGCGACAGCGCGCTGTAGTATCTGTCAAGCCTAGAAGAAATCCAGAATAGTGGTGCCAGCCCTAAGCCCTCAGCCCACTGCTCCAAACCATGAATTGGTTTAGGGTTTAGGGTTTAGGGTTTAGGGTTTAGAGCATTAGTTTGACATGGCAGCCCTCCCCACACCCAGAGACTTGAATTGAAATACCGAACTCCTGTAAGCCTTAGGCGCTACACTGCATGCTCAACCCAAAGAACCCAAAACTTCAAGGAAACTCTAAACTCCTAAACTCCTAAACCCAAAGCCCCGAAAGACTTGACCCCACACCTGGAACAAAGCCCTTGAACCACAAACTTAACGCCCTAAACCCCAAACCCCTAAACCCTAATTCCCGAAACCCCAAAGCCTATAAGCCCATAAAAGCCTAAATAATGACCAACATTATTGCGGGTTCCTTAATATGATTATACTATAAAGGGCCCCAAAACCCTATTCTAACTAATTAAGGCCCTTAAACCCTAAACCCTAAATCCTATTCTAACTAATTAAGGCCCTTAAACCCTAAACCCTAAATCCTATTCTAATTAATTAAGGCCCTTAAACCCTAAACCCTATTCTAATTAATTAAGGCCCTTTAGCCCGAAACCCTAAATCCTGTTCGAATTATGACATTAAGCAACCCTATTCTAATTAATTAAGGCCCTTAAACCCTAAACCCGAAATCCTATTCTAATTATGAATATTAAGCAACCCGAGCCGAAGCCGGCCCAAAGCCCTGTGCAGCCCAGGACTCTGGTTGCAGCAGAAAGGATCGCCCTTCTTCTGTCCGAAATGGCCTCGAAAGCTGTTTTAGGGTTTTGGGGATTTTAGGGGTTTAGGGTTTGTTTTAGGGTTTAGGGGGTTTTGAGGGTTTAGGGATTTAGGGTTTGTTTTAGGGTTTAGGGGATTTTAGGGTTTGGGGGTTTAGGGTTTGTTTTAGGGCTTAGGGGATTTTAGGGTTTGGGGGTTTTGGGGTTTGGGGGTTTTGGGTTTGTCTTAGGGTTTAGGGGTTTAGGGGCTTAAAGGGCATTCCCATCCATGTTTTGTTACAGCCATTTTGTTGTCATCATACCCTGAACATCCCCGAACCCGACTCCGTCAGTTGAGGAAATTTATGGAGATCTTGCGGTTTAGGGTAGTTCTTTGAGCGGGCTCGAGAAATGCTCTCCTTCATTAGGGCGCAGCTACCAAGCCAGGGTAGCAGTAATATCCTTCGATCGCGGATCACTTGCGACCCGCATGGTATTCATCTTCATGAACATAGGAGCGAGCGTGACAGTAACCCAGAAGACGTCAACAGGCTGCAGAATCCAAGCCACAAGTCCTTGCACCCTAAACCCTAAACCCTAAACCGCAGCACACCGTCCGACAAGCACACGCCAACCGACATCACTCGCCTCCTTTCTCGACGTTTGCACCCAACCCTACAGTGCTACAGCTTGAAAACTGAAGCCCAAGTACCTAAACCCGAAACCCTAAACCCTAAGCCCCCTGAAGTACCCTGTACCCTAAACCCTAGACCCCCTTAAGCCTTAAGTACCCTGAACCCTAAACATGAGCCTTTGAAGCTTAAACCACCTGATCTAGAGCCCCTGCACTCCATTCCAGCATACCTCATATTAAATTCCTCTGAACCACAATGGCTAGCTCTTTGCTGGGTACGACGACTTGAGTCGCGGCAAATCTCAAGCCGTTGACTTTTCAAGCCTGGTTGCCAGAACACTTGATGGCCAAAGGTCGGTAGGTTTCGAACCTGAGCGCAGCTTGCTCTTCAGTTTTGTTCCGTTCAATGTCGAGATTTTCTTGTTGGGGCATTGTAGTGGTCAGGTGCGGGTTTGGCGTGGCACAGGTCACGGGCCGAAAAACCTATCTCGTTGGTGTGGTTCTTCTTGTTTCCGTCGATCACACGCCTACATTGGCCTACATGTGCAGAACAGCATGTGGAACAAGATGTCGCAGACCTGTTGTTGCCTTTACCACGCTGTGCTGGGCTTCATCGAGCTCCATCGACACTTGTAGCATGTTTGTGTAGGCTTCAGGGTTTCGAGGGGAGCGAAGATCAGTCAAGCGAAGCCTCGTAGGCTCTGAGTACCCTAGCCCAAAAACTCCATGGTTAACCTTTTCGAGTAGAGTAGGGTTGAAGAAACCGCAAAAACGTTAAAGGCTACGTGCTCAGATGATGATGAACTTTACTTGGCGAACACCCGAAACGTGAACGGCAAGAGGACGGCGTCCCCACCCAGAACAAGAAGAGAAGCGCCAATCCGAAAAAGAACCCTAAGCCGGACAAAAACGCACAGCATGCCTTACGCCAACGCGATTCTTCGCACTTCCGCAAAATCGCAAGCGAACTCAACTTCTGGGTTCTATGATCCTCAAAGTAGCAAGATCCACTTGCCAAAAACAAATCGAAAGCGGCACAGCAAAAGCCACCCTAAAACCTGAATCCTGAATTCAATTCCTTGAGCCCTGTACGTACCACGGCAAAGACCGCCTAAAAAATCCATCCCCAAACACCCCAAAGACAGGCAGTCTTCCCGAGACTCTCCAAACCTCCCAACAGAGGTAGCAAAAGAAGTAACACTTGGAGTCTTAGGGTCTTTCTATAACCAAAATCTCGTTAGGGTAAGCCCCTAAACCCTAAACCCAAACCCAAACCCCTAAACCCTAAACCCTAAACCCTAAACCCTAAACCCTAAACCCTAAACCCTAAACCTTAAGCCCCGTATCGAATCCACAAATCCTAGGAACATCGGCTTCCAGGCTCTCTCCAGGTAGTGCCCCGCCTCTGCCACGCCTGATGGGTTCAGGGATTCATGGAGGGGTTTAGGGTTACAGGTTTAAGGTTTCGGGTTTAGGGTTACGGGTTTAGGGGTCGTGGCTTTAAGTCTCTGAAAGATAACTGTGACACATACTGTTATTATCATACGAACTGTACCTATTGCATAATACGACTAGCAACCTAATCAGATCAGACCGTTATAGTGAGGATCTAGAAACCAAAGCCTAAATCCTAAACCCAAAACCCTACACCAAATCCGATCCCTGAACCCGAAACCCTAAATCCTCTGTCGCCACCTTCGTGCTCCTTCGCGGTGCAACGAAGGATTTCTTTCAGCAGAGTCTCGTACATAGACTTCGGATACCTCACTGGGCAGCAAAGATCTGAAAAAAAGCGGGTTTCAAGAACGTTGAGGATTTATAGGGTTTAGGGGGGTTTAGGGGGGTTTAGGGGGGTTTAGGGGGGTTCGGGGTCTAGGGCTATAGAGGCCCCCAAAGTGTCCCTTACAGCCACCCTTACAGGAACCCGACGAGGGGATCCTCTGAAGCCCTAGAATTCAAGCCATCTTCCCCTGAACCGAAGGACGTAGGGATTGTAGGGTTTAGGGGTTTAGGGGTGAGGTTATGGCCTTTAGGAGTGTAGGGGTGAGGTTATGGTCTTTAGGAGCTTGGGGGTGAGATGATGGTCTAGGGCTGAGGGTTGGGCTTAGCTGGCAAGGCAAGTCGTTTTCTGAAGCATTGAAGGCTTGGGGGTATTCCCGCTAGGCCTAACTATAAACACTCGAAGGCAACAACCCCTACATGGCGGGTAGAGCGGCAGGATCTTCATGTTGCTTCATCAGGTGCCTACGAAAACTGTAGGTTAGGACTTAGGTTTAGGGCTTACGTGGGCTTAGTGTATAGGGTTTAGTCAGAGAAGCCAGACAGGCCCTGTGCTATCACACGCAACAAAAGCTCCTATCTTATGTGCTTGTCGGCTTTGGCGGCACCCAAGACCCGGCAGGAGCTGTCAAGGCAGGATGTGCCATCGACTCATCATCAGGGCCTGCTGCTACATCCTAAAGCCTCGATATGTGGGTAACTGTCAAGATCATGGTCCCTTTTGGAGGACTCTATATGATGCTACTTTTAGCATACGACACCCGATACTGCCTGGGAACCCAGAAGGGGCCCTATAGTTGTGACAGCCACCCATGCGGGCAACATGTTATAGATCGGACAGGACGGGTTGCGCTGAAATTTGCAAGTCGGTTGCCTTCTTGATCGACCCATGGACTTGGTTGGGATTCCAGCCTCTAGTGGACGTGTGGTTGCTCCATATGTCAAGACAGATATGGTCACTGGTAGTGGCAGACATCTGTGCAATTGCGGGTGAGGACTGGCACTCTTTGCATACGCATCATGTGCGGCGGATGGAGCTCTAAACCGCCTCTGTGACACGGAAGGCTTCTTCCCAAAACTCTGACACAATCGACAACGGCCAGAGCAGAGTACGCGTGCAGGGCCGCCCACAGCTTGCCAGAAGCTGTACCAAGCCGGTAATCAGAAAGGACATGCCAGGCAAACAGTTCACCATAATTATCAGCAAAAACAGCAGATGTAGAGTTGACCAGAGATTGTGGCACAAACATACCGCTCGAGGTCCTCTCTTCAGCTCTGAATGCCAGCGTTTGGGTCGGAGGTCTGCTTGGTGCAGTCCGTTCCTCTGCTTCTCGTTCATGATGTGCTTTTGCAGCTTGTGGTAGTCTGCCGACGTAACCATCATGTTGTCCATTTCGACCATGAAGTCGAGGGCGACGCAGTTCAGGATCATCTCAAGCATGTTCGGCGCATGATACAGCAAGTGTAGGCTACTCCAACACATCGTGCTGTAGCATAGCATATTGTAAACACGCCCGAAGATCACCGGACCCGGTCGGACGAAGTCGGGTATGTTGTTCAGCTTCTCCAGATCTAGACGGTACATCCCGGAATAAACGATGGACCGGTAGCGCACGAGAAAGAACATGGCTTCGAAGCTTCCCAGGAGGCCCAACATCAGCATGTGAAGCAAATCAATCTCGTCCTCCTCGCACCTCCCCGTTTCAGGGTGCTTCGATTCAAAATGCAACTCCTGCAGGATCATAATCGTGCCCGGCAGCTGCACACAAACGCACAGGAGGCATTTCAGGCATACCAGCACCACGTGGTGATCACACCCCTCCTTGGTCGCCCAGATGAACCCTAAGAACTGAAAGGGGTCGAGGCCCTCTCGACCTTCTGCACACTCCTGAAGATAATCCATCACCTCCTGGGGCTGCAAGCGTGCTATCTCACTGTCCTTAGCTCTGCAGTATCCCCGGCACCCTGCTTGCCATTCTCCCGTCACGACAAGGAACACAAAAAAGACAAGAAGAGTAAACTCGGTACTGCCATAAATCAACCCCGAAAACTGAAAAGCCCAACAGATGCTGTTGGGAGGAGCCCAGTTTCAGTTTTCGACCTCCAGAGACGGTCTGACAGCAGGCCGTAGATGCCAGGGATCTCGATCGACTGCGCACTGCCGTCGCTGTCGACGCTGGCGTCTGTGTCCCTGCCTGGGGATCCCAAAAAACCGTAACGTTCTGCTGCCTTAAAGGCTAGACCCTGCTACTTTGTAGGATTAGCCCTAAACCCTAAACCCTAAACTGGGGCTACAGGTGCAGCCATGGGCACTATGCGGCACAGCGTGGGAGCGGCACAAAGGCCAGGTTTCGCCTGGAGGCCCATCGATCTCGGGCCCAGAATCGAAGTCATCGTCGCTCGCCGCCTCCGGCATCAGTGAACCGCAAGCGCAGGACGTGCTCCACTGAGGGACATGGCCCTAAAACTCTCGTGTTTTGTGGGGTTGCGGCTTCAAAAACAGGAAGGTGTCTCAGATTCCATTCTCCATGTAGCAACTGCTGCGTCTCGGGCTTTTTGGATTTATACGACGTAGCGGGAGCTACTCTGAATCCCCAATCCTTTCTGTGTACTGCAGAGCTTCGGGTGTTCTAGCGCTGGGACAACATGGGCCGACTATCCAGGGACTCTCACGCAAGCAACATGAATTAACTCATCATCCTGAACCCGAAGCCCCACTTGAGATTCGGCTGCTTTGAGCCAAATCACTACTTGCAGAGAACAGAAATGTCCCGGATGAGGGTTTCGTGGACCGGGGTTAACCAAGGGTGTGACGCTTGAGGCGTGAGGTCAAGAAGGAGTTTGTGGCCAAGAGGGCGGGGGCCTTAGAGGGCTTCCCTTCGTAATTTATATAACCCCAATTTACGCTAAGAATATTAAACTTCATCCGTCATGATTTAGCATCGGAGTTTGGCCGAAGGACTGGCGGATCTTCTCGCGCGAGACGGCGAAGATGGGGTTGTAGAGGACACCCGTGTGCCGGGCAATGGTGAGGTTCCTGGGCAGGGGCCCCTAAACCCAGAACACCAAGCCGTAAACCACAAACCCTGAAACCCCTAAAGCCTTAAACCCATTAATAAACCCTAAGCCCTAACAGTCAGCTGTGAACCCTATACCCATCAACCCGAAAAAGCACCTTGCCATGACTAAGGCGACTAAGGTTCACTTGCAGCTCCGGTTTCTTCCTTTAAAGGGCTGCACCCCATGGGTACGGGTCATAGTCGTGGCCTACTTTTCTGTAGCGGCTTGGAGCAGCGAGGTAGGGCTTCGGTCTGTAACTGCTCAGGGCCTTAGAGTCACAGGGTTCAGGCTGAGCCCCAACAGGCACAGCTACCTGAAACCTTGCTTGGCTTTGAGGGTGGAATATAAGCTAGAAATGCCAGATCCAGGGCTTTGGAATACTAGAAGTACTTAGGGACTGTAGCGAAATAGTGGTACTAAATAATCTGACGCCGACAGGATCTTAGCCTACGAAAACCTATTGTTCCGGTTGCTTAGGGCTTCGGGGTTTATAGGCCCTCAGCCCCAAAGCCCTAAGCAACCGAAAAATAGGTGTTCAATGGTTTGTAGGCGAAGATCATTTAGGGTTTGCGTAGGTCGCAAGGAGCAGGGAACCGACCCGAACTCTCCTGCAAAGTATGTACACGGAGCCTCGCCAAAGAACCCAAAAGGGCCTATGCAGGGGATACTTCCCGAAATCATAGTGGTAATTCCAAATAATTACAGAAATCCGATATTCTACAGAAACCCTCCACTCTACTAAAATAGGTACATAGGAGCCTTTGGGGAAGGAGGCCAGGGTCCGATTAGCCGAAGGGCTGAGGGCTAGTCTAGTGAGAGTCAGGATTTGGGGTTTACGATTTTTTGGAAACTTTAGGGTTTAGGGTTTAGGGTTTCGGGTTAGCACGCCCCATAGAACTTTGCAACACCGGTCTATAAACTCGGAAAAGATCCTGGAGCAGTCAATCAGACAAGTAGTACAAGCCTTTCGAATCGTACAGGTTTTCTGAAAAATCCCAAAGCCCTAGGCCTCCTAGACCCCAAAGGGTTTAGGGTTTAGGGTTTAGGGTTTAGGGTATAGAATACTGGAAGAAAAACATCCAACAGCTGAGGTTCACTGGGATGAAACGCTCGAACCACTTGTCCAGGGGCGTGATGCTCGCACGGCAGGCAGCAGTGTTCTGTCCACCGGCATGGTTCCTGTGGGGCTTTGGGCTTCAAGGCTTCATGGTCTATAATACCCTGAATCCAAAACCCTAAACCCTAAACCCCTAAACCCCTTAACCCTGAACCACAAACCCTAAACCCTAAAATTACAAGGCTTGCAGCTTCGAGGGCTTAGTGCTTAGGTTTACTTTCAGGCTGCTCAGGGAGTTTCCCAGGTCCTGCAAAACAATGGGCTTTGCAAGGTTTATGTAGGGTTCAAGCCGAAGGGCCAAGGGTTGCCGAGAATGCCAAAAGAAAACCCGAAACCCCGTAAACCAAACACCACCGAACTCTCCAACTCTAAATCCTTAAGCCCGAAACTCTAAACTCGAACCTATAAAGCCTGAAGCCCTGAACAAAAACTCAACATGAACTGGTTATTTTCTGACTCTAAACTCTAAGCCCGCTGAACCTCGAGCACCATTCATGTAGCCCCAACCTTAAGTTAAAGTGGCCCCCCAATTTCCCCCCCGCTCCCCCCCGTTGCGCAACTGATTGAGTCCAAAAGCCAAGGCGCCGGTAGGACTTCAGCTGGAAGTAGCCCTCGAACTCCATGAAACTGTCCGGCGCTTGGTGTGCCATCGTCACCTGAGCGTCAGGGTCTGAAGCTACATCCTAAATCCTAAAACCCTAAACCCCTGAACTCTAAACCCTAAGCCCCAAACCCCTAAACCCTAAACGTCAAGCTCTGGGAGTTCAGGGCCTTTGGGGCTTATTGGATTAGGATGGCTTAGGGCTTTTTGACTTCGGGGTGGTGGGTTTAGGGTTTGGGGGCTTTTTGACTATGGTTTAGGGCTTATTGTTGACTTCGGGGCAGAGGGTTGGGAGACTGGGCCTTGGGGCTCTTCGGAGTTGTGGGTTCTTTGGAGTCTGCCCGTTGCATTTTGAGGATCTCCGACAGGAGGAAACGAGGCTTCCTTCCGGCGTTAGGGTTTAGGATGTCGGGTATTGTGCTCGTATACTATACAAGTACATATATATATATATATACACACATATATATATATATATATTTATTTATAGACATGTGTTTTGAGAGGGAGACAGTCGTGTTGTAGCCCAACGCTCGAAGTGACGATTGGTGAGCTGGGGAACTACCCCTGCGTGCCGAAAACGCTCAATCCAAACAGAAACACCGACAAGCTCTCCTGCTAGAGCAATGGAAAAAGTCAGAAACTCTCTTGCTGTGAAGAACCCCCAAGCGCCCGCAGCCAAAAGCAGAATAAACCTTGACCCAAAACTACACGAACTGAACCGCTAACCCTTGAACAATAGATCCAGAACCCGACAAGATAGGGGGGTTTCCGAAAATAGGGGACCCTAATATAGTACCCTAATTAATAGGATCCCTATTATAAGGAACCCCAAATAAGGTACCCCCTATTTTCTGAAACTCCCATAGGGCAGAGGCACAAAGCCGGAGAAGCTCTGACGCTTTTCTGGAGTGTCGATTTGGCTCAGAACGAAATTCCTCGGAGGGTATGAAGTCCAGTTTTCGGGGTCTACAAAGGCCTATTCAAGGGCTGGGTTCTACAAGTAATTAGGATGTTCTAGCGTTCTGAAGTTGAAGGCTCTACAGGTTTAAGGTTTCAGGATTTCTCAGAGACTACTGCAACCCTTCAGACCCACATGGACTCTCTAAGGGTAACCCCGTAGAGAGAGGCGTCGGAAAGAGGGCTTGGGGCTTAGAGACTCAAGGCTTGCAGCTCCCCCAAAGCCCTAGCCTAAACCCGAAAACTCTCGAGCACCAAATCGACCCACACAAGAAACCTCTAAAGCCTAAACCCTGAATCCCAAACCCTAATCCTGAAATCGAAAGCCAACCTCGAAAACCAATCGGCCCAAAACTACGGGGCTTCGGAGGTTTGGGCGTGTTTGTTGCTTGTTTTTTTCGGTGGGGGCGGTTCAGGGTTTATTTATTACGGATTCAAGGGTTCAAGGTGTAGGGTTCGGGCTTAGGGGTTTCAGGTTTGGGAAGATGCTTGCCAAACTTCTTCGTCCTTGCCATCTCTCGAAGTCACGAATCCTAATCACAAGTATTTTGCCGAACGCGTGTCCTTGATCTAAGCTCCAAGACCCGCCT